TTGAGTAATTCAAGGATACGAGTCACGAGATATAAAGATAGCGTTTGCGAATTGCCGTTACAAATCGTAGATTTTCTTCTTTCGATGTTTCACTCTTTGGAAATTACTCAAGGGTTCGATGTCTTAGAAATAGTCATTTTGACTTTTCGTCTCGGATTTGAACGTGTTTTAGGACAACGAATCTAACTGTTCAAGAGTCTCAACACGTCATATCGTCAGCAGACTATAGCATTAGCGAGTACGTTCTCGTATGCAGGTAATTTGAGTCCATTTACTGTACATATTTTGGCTGGTGATAATTACCTTTCCATCCATGGTCAGGTTTCAAAGACTATATATATCACGATTATTGAAAGAGTATCTCACATTCTCACATTATGGAAGGAACTTCTCGAACACTTCCTTACACCATAAGATTCGTTGGTCTACTTGGCAGTCATTCTCTTGGTAGAAATCCAAAGTTTATGGCTACTGCGGTAGATTTAGGAAGGGAATTGTTAAGACGAAGAATTAGTCTTGCTTATGGAGGAGGCAACGTTGGCCTACAAGGAGCTGTTGCTTCAACAGTCTTTACCAATGGTGGTCTCGTTAGAGGTTTCATTCCTGGGTACATAGCAACACGACGGGTCTATGGACCTACGTACGGTGTAGAGCACACAGTTTCCAGCAATTACTACAAATATTTTGAGATGAATCATGCCGTGGAAGCTTTCATTGTTCTTTCTGGAGGAGTTGACACTATGGAAGGTTTGTTTACCTTGATCTCGTGGGCTTCTGAAGGGTTACACAATAGACCCATTGGTCTTTTAAACATTGACGGTTATTTCAATAACCTTCTCAAATTCTTGGACGATGCAGTGAGACAAAACTTCATGGCTTCTAGTCAGAGGAAACTTTTTATTTCTTCTTTCTTTGTTGACAAGCTTTTAGACAAACTAGAGTTTGCTAAAGCTTTCCCGGGTCCGGGAGCCGGTTACGACGAGTTTGCAAATCCTGAGAGATTAGACCTAGAATTGCATCTTTAACTTTCCTCATGTAATCTAAGTTGCATTCATGTTGAAATAATATCGTGCTTGAACATTACGAGTTAGTCATAAATATTATTCTAAGCTGTATGGTCAGTGCAGCTACATTTTCTTCATTCTTCAGTCTTTCACTGTTGGTGTTACTGTTTTACGTCTCGTTCTGTATTTTACTTCAAACGAATCAATCGATTTGTCTTGTTAGCATCACTTTGCTTCACTTATTCAATCAGGTTACATCGACATTTTTGACGATAAGCAATTAAGTCATTATTCGCTTCATGAAAGGAATCAGTTTATTCAACAAGGTCGAGCTGTCTATAGCTTCTAACAAACAGGTTCTTCGAACAAATCGTCTATACGTAATGAAGGGTAGCGATTCTTGATTGTCAGTTTGTCCATCTTCCATAACAAGGATTTAACAGTATCTTGACCGTAAGTCAATCTTAGAGAACACAATGGATCCTCTAAGCTGATCAAATAAGTCATCGATACGAGGTAAAGGATAATGAATTGTTCAACTGACACTAGTTGATACAGAGTCTCATAGATTCTTCTTTATTCGCGTATGATCAGAACATGCATTCTCCCAAGGGGGAAACACTTTATCAGATGATTCCTTGTCAGGCAATCTTCATAGTTGAGTTTTTTTTTTAAACGGAAACATATTCAATACAGATTTACGAATATTGGTCCTCTCGAGGATCAAGATTGACAGAATTTTGAACGGTGAAACATAAGGAAGTTCATATCAGAGAGGTGACATACTTTCGGTATGTTCCTTCAATTCAGATATTTCTTTTTGGGTATCGCACGAATAGATTTCACACTTGAGATGTTTT